CACGCGGCTAATGTACGCGAGCACAGGCCGCGCTCGTTCAGGACAACGCTGCCTATATACGTACTGAGGGAACGTACGTATAGTATACGGCATACGTAACCCTGTAGGTTGTACTACGCGTACTACTACGCGCGTGTACAATGGAAAACGGGAGGTCAGGTTCGTGTGCGTTCACACACGTGGCCGAGTTAATTGATTTCGCCTCCTCGTTCGTTGCCACGATGTTGCCATTCGATCGGAGCACGCAATGAAACCGCGTTATCGTCGTCTACGTGCACCACGTAGCGACATCCTGACCACCGAATGGAGCCTTTCGGGTAGAAGGTAGAATCATACATGATACATACAGACATTGGTAGATGAAACATAGTGTACGATATCGAGCCTGGCATTGAACTGGAAAACGATACTCTCGCGTTCTCCTGCTTCCTGTATATACATTGTATACGTATGTATGTGTATTTGCATTCGCTTTTTTCGAACTTCTCGACCGTGATGACGGTATAGCATTCGGATGTTATCGATATTGAAATATCATGGCTGCCATTCGATTACTATTCCCTGCTTTTTGAACAGACATCCAATTTTTTTATTGATTTGAAAGCAAATAAGATTCTCCGCCGCACCCAATCAAAATTCGTATAAATGTCCATTCCTCCTTTGTTCGTTAGCTTTCGCATCGTGTGTGTAATCACGTGCCGAGATAGGAGTAATTATCCGCGGGTGGAGAATCGAGCTCGCGTTTCATTTTAACACGCGAAGAATTTGGACTAGCAAGCGCTGCAGCGAGGAGAATGCAGTCACACCGGCAGTTGCATCCTGGCGCAATCGTGCTGTGTGCACCAATTAACAGCGCTCGGCGCCGTAATCTGGGATACCGTGGTGCATGCAAAATGCATTCTACCAGCCGCACACTCTCGCCGCTGCTGGACACGGACGATCGTTATCGCTTGATTATCGGTCGTTGGTAATAGCGGCTTTCCAGGAACCGCGTCAGGAAGAAGGCTCTTGATAATTTAGCTTACTGCGATCGCTTCGAGAAAACGGGAACTGTTCTCCTGATTACGTAATGCGCTTATCAATATCGTCTTGTCCGGGGATAAAGGGAAAGCCAATGTTCGATTTCACATTTTATCTCATTTTATTCCATGAATAATGTACTTTTTTATTTTACACTACTTGAATAAGTCAGCCTCTAGGGTCAAGTCAAACCACGACTACCGTTAATTGAAGGACTGAAAAATAGCATTAAATATAGAAATAAACCTTTCAAAAGACTCATATCCCGTCTCTTCAAAGAAAATTGGCGTGCTTAAAATAGCTGTTAAACGATTCAAATTCTCGATATAAATTATCGAGAAATAAGAACCGTTAATATAAAATCAATTATCGAGCTACAAACCATTTGATCTGATCCATTTCTCACGGCTCGCTATTAAAAATGGTCATATCGCGAATGATTATCATGTCCGCGTGACACCTACAAGGAACAACGAGCCCATTTCTCGTCGTTGCATTATCCTGAAAACTCAACCAGGCCACACGAACGGCCGCGAACACATATACAAGAGCACACATACAAAGCAACGAGGATCTGCACATAAACGAAACAACCGATCGGCGAAGAAAGGAAACGCAAAGCGGGACACGGAGCGAGCAATTGTGCATTAAATTGAAACAGGCCACGAGCAAAGCGTTCCCGTGGCATTATGCTCTGGCGTCCTATGCGTTTCGCGCGTATCCGAGGGTTGCTCTCGCGCGCACTCGCGCGTCGATACGCGTAAGTCATGATTGCCGGTGTTCACGGAACGACATGCTGCCCATTAAACCCCACCAACGCTGCCCGGGACGAGTTGAATGC